ATAGTAATTATAATCAACTTCCTAAAATCCAATTACTGTATTATTAATATAATGTTGATAGATTGAAAACATATCACTCTTTAATGAATTAGCAAAATTAAAATTGAGGTTTTAATCGAGAAAGGAGAACAGAAAATTTCAGGCATCCCACACTGTGTCACACTCTTTGTCCAATATTTTCTTGGTTAATTATCAAGGACTTCAGGTGCTTTAAGCAAGTTTCCCTTTTCTTTTTGAGAGATAGGGGTTGGGAAATAGTGGGAGCCAGATTGGAATGATGAAAAATTGGAATGATGAAAAATTGAAATGGGAAAAAGTGAAACTGAAGAACATTACTATTTGACAAAGGAAAAATAATATAATAAAATCTCATTTTTTTTCTCAACTTTCATTCTTTCTCCACCAAATACAATTATCTTTTAAAATGTTAGTAGCACAGAAACCAGAACTTAACAAAATGCATTCAAGAGTATTCATAATCAACAGATGACTAAGCATTTTTCATATTGCCCCTAGGTGATATTTTTCAACAGCATTTCTCTTTTCCAAATTATATTTCATTTGTACACATGTATGACCTGGCACAGAATGTCCAGATTCCAGGTGAAGTTTCAGTTGACATGTCCTAAAAGGGAAGAGGGTTCATCTGTGTGTTAAAATCAAAATCATAACCTCTAGCACAGGTATCTGGGAATATATTTGTTATAACTTTCTGACTCCTAAAAGTACTTTGTCTATAAATCGTAGCTCTTTGGTATAAATTTTAAATTTTCTAAAGAGGGCATACTTGGATATTTTAAATAAACCTAAAATATCTCCAAATTTGAGCTTGGTCTTCTGTGAATCATTAGAACACGGGAATAGATTTAAATCTTTACTATGATAATATGCAACATAAAAGGTTACTTGTTAATAGATATTTTCATATAACCTTGCATATGTTTCAGATTTAATGTACTTGGGAAATATTTCAACATTATATTTTTACATATTATTTTAATTCAAGAGTCAGAAAAGATAGGCAAAAATAAACACTCTAGTCTGTGATTAAAATTTTAATGCCAATTCTCCTTTATTTACCTATTCTCTTATGGAAGACATGGCAAGTAGAGTACTAAATGGGGATCAATAGTAAGACAAAGTGACCAATAATAGAAAATAAAGCAAACAAGGAAATACAGGGGGAAAAAAAAAAGGTGACGGAGAAAAAAAAATATCCTGGAGAATTAAGTCTTTTCTTTTAAAGACAATGAGTTTAGAAGTTTTATAATAAAAATTATAAGACTGTGAACAAGGAAAAGCTTTGCTTTTTCTGTTCTACTTGGAGGTTTTTGAACTTTGGGGGACGGGGGGATAAGTAGAGTGGGTTTATGAAGAGACAGGAAGGAATTTAAGAGTAAATGGCTACAACATACCAAATATGGGTGCAGACATAGCTGTTAAATTAGCTAACCTGAATTTTTAAATTATATCACATATATTTTCATCCTGGCCCTGAAAATTGGTAAATACGACTAAAAATGAAAGGGAAAAAAATAAACAATCTTATAAGAGAAACAATAGTACTTTAAAGTATTGTTATGATGACCAAGTATAACAAACTTAGAAATGATAATTTAATGGTAAGAGAAAAAAACAAAGAAAGCTTAACAAAAATTTTAATTTTAAGTTGCAATACAGCTAATATATACCACTAGTGTGTCTTTCCCCCTTTTTAGACCCCAGATTCTATAAAATAGGAGACTGGAACAAGATGATCATCAAGATGTCTTGAAGATTTTTTTTTAATGAATTCATTTTTTACCGTCATTGCCAAGGAAAAAACTATACTTCTAATTTCATAGTCTGAACTATGAGATGAACTCAAGTGAGTGATCAGAAGAAGAAACTGAAGCTTACAATATGATGGAACACATAGCTCTAGAATAAATCACAAATATACTCTCTATTCATAAGGAATGCAGTTTTCATTTTACATCTGACATTAAATAGAGAACATAAAAAGTTATATATACACGTTTCAAAAGCCTCTTGAATTTCATTTAAGGCCAGAATTTCAATGTATAATTTAAATCAAGATAATTTCTCATGAATATCCTTAGGTTAAAAAAAAGCAAGATGGACAGTAAATGTATGTGATTATTCACATACATTTAATGATGTAAAAAAGCTTAACATTCTATTTTCTTTCTCCTGTTTTGCACAGTGTAAAAATCCTCTCTGAGACTAAGTACTCACCACAACAGCAAACTGCTCGGGTTCACATAAGTTGTTATATTCACTCTTGAACTGAGACAATGAATTCAATTGCTTTTGATCAGGAAGATGCTTTATTAAATTCTAAAAATTAAAACCAAAAGAAAATATTTTCACTAAACGTCTTCTCGAATTCAAAAGAAATTAATTTATAAACTATGTAAAGGAAACCAGTGAAGTTAATCTTTCGTTTTATTTCTAGGTAACCTCCCTTGTACTAAGTCTTCAGCAACACTCCCTGCATCTTGAAAACAGTCGATTTTCCTTTTCTCCATTCCAGAGTTATTATATATTCAAATCAAGCACTACTGAATGTTTATTTGATTAGCTATATAATTGAGAAAGAGAACTCAACCTATACCAAAGGAACAGCTTTCTCACCTGGATAAATGTGGTCCATTTCATTTCAGCTTTAGGGAATTAAATGTCAGAAATTTCAGGCAAAGCTAAACATATTTTAACACTTCACTCAGGGGGATAAAAGAAATCACCATATTGCTACTAAAAGGCAAGGGAAAGAACAGAAATCAAGGGAATTTTAATGGCATTGCTTTCAAGATTTAACCAGTAGGAATACAGTTTTAATAATAAAAATCTGAAGTTGTCTCTAAAACAAAGACAAAGTAACTTTTCTGATGTGATAGAAAAATTTTAAAAGGCACCAAAGACACAGGATGATACCTTGCAGTTAAAAAGCATTTAAACAGATCCTTTAGGAACTTAAGTGCACATGGCTGTAAAAGCCCTGGACCACATTACCTGCAGTCCAGAAACCACAGGCTCATTTGGCTGCTCTGTCTTGTTTGCCCATGCACAGCCATCCCAAGCCACACACTTAAATAAGACGACGACTTGAAGAAAGATCAAGGGAATACACACATTTATGCCTTCCTGACGGAACTCACATGATTAAACAATCCCTTGGACAAAGTCTATATGGATTCTCTGTGTCAAAATATAGTCAACTATAATAGTGTTATAAGAAGTTAGTGTATTGATTTTAAAATTAAGGAAAAAAAAAAAGAGTGGTCGGTGCTCAAAATTCCAAATTATAACGTCAGTAAATTCTGTACAAGCACAAAGTCAAGTACAAATTATAAGTAAGCATACATCATGCTATATATTTTTACTGAAAGGAAGTCCCACATAAGTGTTAGTAGTTGAAAATGTTGTTAGAGAAGGTTATATACCAAAAGCAGTTAGATCAAAAAACAAGTTATTGACTCACTGTGTACCTTTGGATAAAAAGTTGGTTGACTGGCCAAAAACAAAACAAAACAAAAAAGTAGCAATTTAAGATCATCCCTAGAAAAAGTATTCACTATTAATACTACCAAATTAAATAAAAACAATAAAAGTATATGATTTTCCCACATAAATAAAAATTTCTCTTAGTGGAATTGCGTAAGACCAAAAGACATGATTATTTTCTCTTAACCATTTTAGTTGACAGCTGGATTGTCTGAGTTATTTCTAATATTATATTGGGCCTCTGAATTTCTTAAGCATCCTTTTAGATGACCAACAAATCCCCATGAATATTTTTAGTTAATATATAACTAGATTTTAATCTTTCATCAGAAATTTAAAATTTTTTACTTTATTAATTTTGTATCTTATTCTAGAAATACTATTAAAATTCTAAGTGTGCAGATCCAACCTTCTTTGTCTTTCCCTTTACCCAAATTTCCTATACCCTTTACAAATCTTAAGCTCCTGTTAAATTCTGCCGAGATCCACACATACCCATCTTTTCCCACACAGCTCACAGTATTATTACTGCCAGAACAACTGCCCTTCATGATGTTTCCCCTACAATTCCCCTGCCCTTTTCTATATCTACACTTATTCAACCTTTAAATAACCTTGCCTTCACACACACACACACACACACACACACACACACACACAGAGCTCACTCCCCCTATACATTCTCTAGTTCTAAACCAATCTCAATAAAACTTTGCTTGTCTTGTGTTATAATTATGTATGGAAATGTCATTTACCTCACCAAACTATAAATTCCAAGAAGGTGAAGTCTACCTCTGATTGAGCCATACAGAGTGCCCTGAACATGATAGGTACAATAAAATATTTGTAAAATGGAGTAATTAATAAAAGACTGATGTGGCAAAGATAAATAGGTAAAAAATGTAGAAAAGTGGCATAAAATGCTATACTCATGACTATGTGTTATATATGAATAAAAAACTAGATACGCCAAAATAAGATTAACAACAGTGAACAAAGCCAAGCAAAATAATGATTATAACAACATAGTGCTCAGTTTCCATGTCCTGTTCAAAACAGAAAGTTCTTCACATTAAAATTGGGAACATACTTTTATGATCTAAAATAAGAGTTCAGATAGCAGAAAGTTCTTTTTTAATGAATATGTGAAAAACTTATATATGTTCAAAATAAATTTTTAGGATTTAAATTCATAAGCTAGTTTAATATTTAGTTAACTATGGTAAGCAGAAAAATGACAACTGCCCCTAAAGATGTGCATGTCTAATCCCCAAAACTGTGACAATATTAGGTTACAGAACAAAGGGAATTAAAGTTACAGATGAAATGAAGGTTGCTATCAGCTAACCTTAAATTAGGGTGATTATCTTGGATTATCTCGGTATGCCAAATGTAATAAAAAATTCCTTAAAAGTAGAAGACAAGAACAACAGAGCGAGGAGATGTGGTGATGAAAGAAAGGAACAGAACGATGCAACACTGCTGGCTTGGAAGAGGAGGGAAGAGGTTCACCAGCCTCAGGATGTGGGCAGCCATGAGAAGCTGGAGAAGGCAATGAAATGGATTCCTCCCAGAGCCTACAGGAAGAACGCAGCCCTTTCTGCCAACATGTTGACTTTAGTATACAGTAAGATCAATGCTACACTTTTATTCTACATAAAAGTAAGATAACTGAAGCCACTGAGTTTGCGATGAATGGTAATAGCAGCAATAGAAAACTGATACATTAAGAAATATATGAAGCTGAATGTACTTTGGACATGAATTTTAAAGGGCAAATCGCTTTTTTTCCCCATATATAGACAAGAAAATCCACATGCTCATCCAAATACTGATGTAATCAAGCTAAAAGCTGCTTAATAAATATTTAACAAATTCATTGTAAGAAATACAAACATGTATCAAGTAACAAAAATTTTCTTTAAGGAACTTGGAATCTACGTCCAGCAAGAAGTCACATGCACAATCAACAAGAATAAAAGTGAAAATCCGAAACTGGTACCAAAAAAAAAAAAAGAAAAAATGCTTACAGAAAAGTTGTTCAATTTAGTAGTTTACGAGTATAAGAGACTCACAGCACAAATCACTAATAAAATTATATTAGCATCACATTTAGAAAGGAAAGGAAAAGCTTAGAACTTATAAAGATATCATTTATTAATGGAATAAAATGTCTAAAATAATTTTAATTGCTTGTTGACACTATCTGGTTTCTTTTAATTGGTAAAAAATCATTTTTCTAAGTATAGACACTATCAGAACAAGAGATGGTAAACTAAATATATACACTCTCTTATAATTTGTGTTTTGATTATACAACTTTAAATTCTATCAAGATATACATTATTGATCCTTCATGTGGAATTCAGCAAGTAACTTTGACACCATTAAAAATATGAAATTCATTAAAAATTTTTATGGGTAAAAACCTTTTTAAAAATAGTCTAAATTCTGAATAAATCCAGAATACTGTGTAAACAAACTCTAGTACTCATAGGAGCACAAATGACTCCAGTAAGGTTGTTAATAAAGGTAAATCTAATGAGAAAACTCTCTCAATCTTCTGTACCAAATCGTATAACTTTATAAGCCTAAGAAAAACAAATTCTAAAAGGGATGAAGAAACAAATTTAAATTAACACATTGCTAAGTCTAAACTGTAACAAAAACAAAAATGTAAAATTAAACAATTTGCTTTTCAGAAACAGTCACTTAAAATATTTGAAATGTAATCATTTTAGTAGCATTATATATAGTTTGCAGTTAAGAGGAGATGCAGTTTTTTCTCCTGGCAATGCAGAAGTTATGTTAAAACTAATTATGCAGCAATGATTTTCCAGTTGAATGATTTGGGTTAAGAAATTTGCTTCACTGACAGACTTCTATTTAATGAGAAGCTTGCAACGAAATATTGGCATTTAAGCTGTGCCTGTTTGTTTACCTGAATCATAGACTCTGCCAACTGAGTTTCATCTACTTCCAATATCATCATTTTGATTTCCTCATATGGCACCCGAAAAGAGCTCAGGAAGATTGCTGAGAGAGAGGGAAAAAAAAAAAAGCTCATAATGTATAAGGTAGGAAAAAGAACTTAAGATATAGTTTTATTTATAAGATCAAAAATAAATTCATAAAACAGGAGACTTTAAGCATTTAACACTTATTATGGAGAAAACTTTCATTAGCATTTTATACTCTTCTACAATCTTAATCTTGTATTATTACGCTGGATCCAAGGTTGATTTTTAAATCCTTAGATATTTGCCTACTATAGAAATGGTGCTAATTTTTATGTGATTAAAAAAACTGAAACAAATTAGGAAACTATAAAAACATGACATTGCTATGAAAAGAATGATGAAACCCCGGTATGTGCATGTAACATTGGTCTAAACATATGTAAAATTGGCTCTTATAATATCTTTCAGCCCTCCTAAATAGTTAGGAAAAAATATTTTAAGAAAACTGCTAAGCAGTACATTAACACTTTCACAAGTAATAGCACTTCACTACTACGAAATACTCTAGACAAAATGATAGAGAAATAACCTTTACAAGTAACTAAAGCTTAAAATAATCAATTAAAGAAAACAAATTTTCATGGAAAATTATTCAAATGAGTTAGATAGGATAATGTTATTACTGAGAATTCCAAACATTATCTACGTTTTTCTTGATACCTCAGATAATTACTATTATAACATAATGATCTCAAAAGTTGTTGAGGTCTAGAAAGATATTTTCACAACTTCAGATATAATGCTTTTGTTAGCTCCCCTCTTATTCTACCATTATATTTCTATGTTCAAGAAGATGTCACTTTATGAACATACTTAATACCTGCAAACCAATACTGCATTACCTTGTTTTATTTATTGAAAGCCTATGTTATTTGGCCTGTAGGTATTTCTATATAAAGATACTACATTCAGCTCTCTATATCTGTGGATTCTATATCCTCAGATTCAACCAACCACAGAAAGATTTGATCCACAGTGGTTTTAATTCACACAATAAACATAGAACCCACAGATATGAAAGGCCAACTGTACGAAAGTTGGGCACCCATAGATTTTGGTGTCCCTGAGGGGTCCTGGAATGAAACCCCAGTGGACACTGAATGAAACACTATTTTTCATAAATCTCAGGAAACAAGATCTGCTTCTTTCTTGGACTAAGGTTGTATTCCTATTCCTGATTCTTGAAGATATCATGTATCACCTACAGATAAACAAGGGCACCATCTGTGTTCATATTACCAGTTTCATTCACACATATCCAAATCTAAGAAGTCATAAATACTGTATAATTAATTATGCTAGAACTATGGATGTCTATAATCCTATATATCCCAAGAACAAGATGAAACAAAATATTTAAATGATGTAAGAATATATAAAGATTTATGGAATTACAAAGGATAACTCCACAGTAGACACTGGAAAGCAAAAAAATAAAATAACTGAAGATCACAAAGTAAAACTCTCCAGTGATTGTCCTCCTACCCTCCACAGAAATATCAATTTGAACAACTATTCACTCGGAAAAATGCCTTCATGAGCACTGAGCCAGGCGAGAGAGCACAATAATTGATTATAACGTAATACTACAGAATGATACATTGACGATACAAAAAAAAACACAAAAAACCAGTTTTGCATTACCTACATTATCCCCTCTCACAACCCCAGGCAGCACAGCATAAAGAGAAATACTGTCCACTTGGGGAAAAGAGAGGGAAATGAGTGTAGAACATTTTCTTTGTCCCTAACAACAAACCTGACATAGTAAAACTGTCATGGACCCGGAGTCCAGATAAGTACGCGTATCTGAGCCACTATATCCATGTAAATACCAGACAGGATCCAATGGGTGATATTAGAAAGATTTGAGTTCTGGTCTGCATTATTGTTACCTGACAGAAGCCATTCTGGGTTACAAACAAAACTCAGGAGTAGTCAGGCCACAGAGCCATGGGCTTTTGTATGCCATGCAGTGCTGCACCAGTATTAGGAACCACAAGATTCCAGTCTGATGCTGGGTCAGAATCGGGAGCCACAAAACACCAGCCTGTGCTGTGCTGCCTGGGACCTTCACCCCTCGTCCTTGTGGGAAACAAATGTGACCTTGTGATCACCGCTGGAGTTGCTCATGCTGCTGTTTTAGTCCTCGCCCAGAGTTGGGGGGGGCAACCTTCATGGAGACCTCAGCCAAGACACAGCAAAGTATGGAAGAGGCCTTTTCCCTGTTAATTCATGAGATCCAGAGGGTCCAGGAAGCCATAGCAAAGGAGGCTGTGGCAGGGCCAGGTGGGAAGCACGAGAAGACTATGTGCTGCTGTGGCTGCTTTGTGGCTTGAAGGCCTTGGTCAAGAAAAGCAGGCCCTCCTCCAGGCCAGGGTGATCGTTCCTTTGACATGAGACCCCTGAAAAAACTAGCTGAGTGGGATACTGTCTGTTGTGAAGATGGATGGACACCACTCTTGTTTTCACTTGGTGAGGGGCTTTTTGGTAATGTGGGGTGTCTAACATTTATGTTATGTCAAGTTGAGAGATTTTTTGCAAAATTGAATAAATGGTGTTCTTGGGTTTCAAAAAAAAAAAAAAAACAATGGCATTCCTGGGCATAGCATACCCCCTAACACTCAAGTGGCAGAAGTAATCCACACCAGACAGTATGCTAAGAAACTCTACATAGACTTAGTGTTGAAAGATGTTCACAAACAAAGCCAGACTGCAAAGACAAAAATAAATATCTACTTCTTCAATGTGCAAACACCAATACATGACCACAATGATCAAGAACAACCAGGGAAAAATGATAACACTAAAGGGATAAATGAGGTGTCAGTGACTTATGTTAGAGATGGATATGTAGAAACTGTCTAAAAAAGAATCCAAAATAGCAGTTTTAAGAAAGCTCAGTGAACTTCAAGAAAATATGAAAAAATTCAGAAATGTATCAGAGATAATAATTTTTTAAAAATTAAACAGAAATCCTAGAGCTAAAAATACAATAAATGAAATGAAAAGTACAAAAGAGAACATCAACAGCAGAATTGATCAAGCATAAAAAAGAATTTGTAAACTCAAATACAGGTTACTTGGAAATATATAATAAGAGAATAAAAAAGAAAGAATGAAAAGAAATAAAGAAAGCTTACAGGATTTATGGGACAACATGAAAAGAGCAAAAGTACATGTCACAGGGGTTCAAGGGAGTAGATAATGGGGTAGAAGTTTTATTTAAAAGAATAAGAGCACTAAACTTTCTAAACCTTGAAAAAGATATAAATATCCAGGCATAGGGAGGTAAAAGATCTCTAATAAGACTAAATCAAAATAAATCTAGCCAATGACATATTATACTCAAACTGTCAAAGATCAAAGACAAACAGAGGATCCTGAAAGCAACAAGGGAAAAGAATCGAATAACATATAAGACCATTCCATGATGCCTAACAGCAGACTTCTCAATAGAAATCTTACAGGCCAAGAGAGACTGGGAGGACATATTCCAAAAAAAAAAAAAAAAAAAAAAAAAAGCTGTCCTTCACACAAATCAAGGAAAGATAAAGAGTTTCCAAAACAAAAGCAAATTAAGTCTATTAAGCAAAAGCAAATTAAGTCTCTGCCTTACAAGAATTGATGAATGAAATTTTGAGCTGGAAATAAAAAGGACACTAATGAGTAACACAAAAATATCTGAAAGTATAAAGCCCGCTAGTACAAGTAAGTACACAGCCAAATCCTGAATACTCTAACAGTGTAATGTAATGGTATTTAACTCACTCTTACATCTTTAGTATTAAGGTTAGAGAACAGAACGATTAATAGTAAATATAATTATTTGTTAAAGGATATGCAAGACAAAAAGATGTAAATTCCATTGTCAAAACTCCAAAATGTGAAGGGGAGAGTAAAATGTAGAGTTTGTGTGTGTCTGCATGTGTGTGTGTGGTTAAGCTGTTACAAGCTTAAAATAACCTATAATAACTAGAAGATGGTTTTAGTTAGCCTCATGTTAACCACAAAGAAAGAAACCTACACTGAAATGCTAAAAATCAAAAGAAAGGAATTAAAATATACTACTAGAGAAAAACCACTTAACCACGAGGGAAGACAGTTAGAAGGAAAAAAGAAGAAAAAAATATACAAAACAACTAAAAAACAACTGACAAAATGACAGTAATGAGTTCTTCACTCATTTTATTTTATTTTAAATGTACATTAATTATTTTAAATGCACATTAATTAAATTCTCCAATTAAAAGTCATAAAGAAGCTAAATGGATAAAACACCAAAATCCAATTATATGCTGTTTACCCCAAAGACTCATTTCACCTGTAAGGACACATATAAACTGAAAGGTAAAAGAAAAAACATATTCATTGCAAATGAGAACCAAAAGAGAACAGAAGTAGCTATTACTTCAATCAGATAAAATACACTTTAAATCAAAAACTGTAAAAGACGACAAAACAGGACATTATATAATGATAAAGTGGTAAATTCAGCAGGAGGATATAACAATTATATATGAAACCAACATCAAAGCATATATATAAAGCAAACATTAATAGATCTAAAGGGAGAGATAGACTAAAATACAATAATTGTAAGTGACTTCAACACCCCACTTTCAGCAACAGACAGATCATCCAGACCAAAAACTCAACTATGAAATATTAGATTTAAGATGTACTATAGGCCAAATAATTCAACAGATATACACAGAAAATTCCATCAAACAAAGTCAGAGTACACATTTTTCTCAACTATTAATACATATAGAACATTTGAAGCTAGATCATGTTAGGCCAAAAAACAACTCTTAACAAATTTAAGAAGACAAAAGTCACATCAAGTGTATTTTCTGACCACAATAGTATAAAACTAGAAATCAATAATGGGAAAAGCGTCAAAAGTTTTACAAGTACATGAAAATTAAATAACATGCTCCTAAATAATCAATGAGTCAATGAAGAAATTAAGAGGGAAATTTAAAAGCTTCTTTAAAAAAATGAAAATAGAAA